TCGTATGATTCGGTGGATAATCAAAACACTGTCTTCGTTTCGTTTGAGAACGACTGATCAGGTGGTAATACTGGACGATTGAGATTGATGTAGGTGAACTTATAAAATGATTATGTTCGTTGCGCATAATCTCATTGGTGAGTTGACTAGATGGGAACTGGATAACATATTGGTTGCACAGCAAATCACTGCAAAAATATCTCTTGATGATAACAAACATAAAGCATGATTCCTTTCATTCGCTTTGCTTACGATCGCATATATTCATTAGAGTGTTGGGTGAAAATGCCAACCTAGAGCTTTGTACGCGTTTGACTAACAGAGAAAACATTATGTAGCAGGTGCGAAATCGAAAGAGTGATAGACCGAGAGCAATCTATTGTGAGCATTAGAGCACGACATGCGCTCAGTGTTTGCAAAATATCGACCATTTTCTCAATGCTGTGATTGGTATTAATACCGGTATCGTTTTTCAGTACCGACACGATACCGGCCGGTATTGAAAAGCAACTTTGGAATGTAGAATTGTGACTTATTCAACGCATTCTTTTTGAGCTAGTGTGTTCATAATTATTCAAAAAACAATTTATTTAACAAGTCACTCACCAAACCTCAAGAAATTCAATGAAAAATACAACCAAAAACAAAAATGGGTATGATTCGTGCTCCAGTCGTGATAGACATACTACCAAATTCACTTAAAATGACTTGGGGTATGAATACTGGAAATACCATGAATATCGATACCACGAATCCCGAGATCGGTATCGCTTTTCTGATACCGGTATTCGGTATTACCGAGATCTCATGCAAACACTATATCCATTGGAACTCGCTAGCAGTGATGTATAATTTGAAAAAAAAAATGGACTCAATGGACTCCGTCTCCCCTTTTTTCAATTTTTGGTTCTGGCTCCGCAACGTTCAAAATTTTGGCTTTGGATCCAAATTCGGCACCGCATTTGCTCAAATTTCGGCCCCTGCTCTAGCTCCATTGTAACTTCTGGATATATCCCCTCACTTCAAATCTGCAATTAGCTTCAAATGTTCACCCGTGTTGAACGGTTTGAAAGCAGCACTTTTCCCCTCAGTTCAGCCTTTAGGCTTTGATTTTATCCTTCCCCCCCCCTCCTCTCATGGGCCATTAAGTTGCACAATTCCTGGGATTTATTATAATAGGGGTGACATGATGTTCTCGGACAATTAAATCCGAAAGGCCAAAGTTTCACAACTCGATTCAAAGTCAGCATTTTCATTCGAAATAAGAAACATTCGATTCACCACAACGCGAAATCAGGGCATCCCTGTAGTCTAGATACAGGGATCACTGGAATCAAAAAATCGACGGACATCATCTTTTCACAGGGCCTGATTAGGGATGTTTTCCTCTGAAATCAGAGATTCTGGAAAATCCGACAGTGAGATAAAATCAGAATGTTTCTGGGTAAACATGAAGACCGCGCTAGACTGAAGATGGTGACCCTGATAATGCTGCAGTAAGACACAGATTGATTATGGAAGATGCAGTGTATTGAAATGAGCACCACCGAGCAAGGAAGAAAACTTCAGAAAATCCTCTGAATATAAGCAAAATCGCCCAACAACAAATATACCCGTCTAATAGTAAAAGTAGAGAATCTGGGAAGTCCGGCAGTAAGATAAAATTTGAATATTTCTCGGCAGACGTGAAGATAGCGGTAGATTGAAGACTTAACCCTGCTACTGCTCCACTAACTATAAGATAAGGATTGATATGTACAGATGCAGTGTGTTGAAGTGGGTTGAATGGTCCTATGAATGTATTAACTTGCTAGCATGAAAATTTGTCTTAAAACTATTTGAGTGGTTTTGTTCTCCAACCATTCGGTCGACTGTTCGTTTTTCAGGATCCGGTTGCAACAGTTGATTTATGCACTTTCGGATATTCTTCATCAAAACATTGTAAACTTTCAAATGAAGCCTAAATGCACAAATTTAACTCGAAGTTAATTTTAAGATAATTTGGAAAGGATGGCACCAGTAGAATTATTTTACTGAAACTAGAGCATCATGTAGATCCGCATATGTGAAAATCCCGGATGTTCGTGAGCAAAGTTGAGCATAATCCATGTTTGAACGTGGTCCACTTCATATCCCTGCATTAAGGCTGCTAAACCTGGTCCCTGTTCATTTTCTCTCAAATTTTTCAAATTTCTCTACTGTCGACATTGATATTCAAAATTCAACAACACACCAATCTGAGAACGATTCCGTTGCAGTTTCTCAGACACTGTCGAATGCATTTGCATTGCTTGCTGACTGCTGTCAGATAGAATCGACTATTCAGTGATGTGTTTTCTCGGTGTTCATTCACAACGCTATTGCAGTGCATTTCCTTTCAGGCCAGAGCGCAGACAGATTAGCGTGTCGGGTGGCATAAGGTGGATATACCCAATTTAGTACCTAACTTGTGCCGAATTTTTCTGTAACGTTGCTCAACGGTAAACTCATAAACCGAGTATTTTTTCATGTGTATAATGAAATGCTAAGGATTTACCACGAACTATCACTTCGTTATTTCGCTTGTTTCCGATTGTACATAATGTGGTAATTTTTATTTTGAAGTTCTTATCTTATTGTTAAAAGTCTATCATTTTTATTGTCAAAAGTCTATCATTCAAATCGTGTTCACCATTCCCAAAGCAAGTTTGCGATATTATGATATCTTCGGAAAAAAGCAGACACACGCGCTTCTTATCTAACTTCACCTTCGTCTTTGTTTGATGAAATATTCTGATCAAGATTTCCATTTTGATTACGATTCTGCAGTTATTTTGGGATTATGCATATTGCTGTGGTTGTTATCAGATCATTCGACGTTGTTGTTATCATTATTATTTTCACTGTCGTTATTATATCTTGTGATATTTATGCACAAACACAATGATACTAGCGGAAGTGATTACAAGTAAACGAATCTGAAATCATGATCAAAGAAAAGACGTAATGAAAATTGAATGAGAATAAAATTTTAAGTAAGATCAGCTGTTTAGTACCCCAATATCAGGAGGACGGTTCAGCGCGCTTATTTCATAATCATTTGATGAATACAAAGTATCTTTTTGATATTCATTTATCCAATCCAATTCACTGCGATCCGTCGGAGATTTCACGTTTATCTCGAATTTATTACATACTGGCACTCTGTTTGAGTGTCAAGGATGATTGCGCAGATTTATCGAAGTATTTATTAGATAGGATTATTAGGAGAAGCTTTCGATCGGCAGCAAAGTGCAGGTTATAAGTTACAAGATCGTGGGCTGGGGAGGGCAATTTTTGTTTGTATTCGAAGTGACACTTAATAAGATCATTGAACTAATTGGATGGTCTGTCTGCCATGAATGAGGAAACCGAGGCATTTATAAACCTTCAGTGACGCGCCGTTGTATGAGTTGGAAATTCCATCGATAATCGTCATCATCCAGCGAATTAATGATTAGTGAATTAAAAAATGCAATAGTAATGAAGAGGCGGTATGAAGCTGCTTCGCCGTCTCTTCATTATTTCACAAGTAGGCGACGTTTGCTTGAATCAAGTTGAAAATAGGGTTAGTTTTCAATATGTGATGACGATGATTCGGTGCGATACGTTAATGTAAATAAATCAGTTTATTTAATGAACAAGTGCATCTGATTGTGATATAGCAGTTCGACTCGGTGCACGTATAAAGTCTACTTATCTGTTTATTTTTTATAGACGCTAAACTCATTTGGTTTATTTTCCTTTTTTTACACCGTTGTGACTGTTAGTGAAGCAGACCGTAAATGTTGCACCACAATTTCAACCATATCTCAGTTTGTTTGGGAGAAAGGATTTGTTTTAATATCGTTGCAAGATGAAGAAATATCGTTCCATTTTTCTGTTTGCAGTTTGAAAATTGCAACTGTTCTAATCGTGAATCAAAAAAAAAATAGAGGATAAATTTATTTTGGTATGGTTGTTTCGAAAGAAGAGGATTGTCTTCATCTCTATTTTTGATTTTTTCGTTGAAAAATTCTTTCACTGAAAAGAAGGTGAAAGGAAACGAGAAGAATCAATTCTTGAGATAGGCAAAAGCAAACGATCGGATGTGAAGGAAGAATCGTTATTTTTCCAGTTTGTGGTGGTGATTAGTAGAAAAGTTTGTGTAAAATGAAATGAACGATAAATTTGACTTGACTTCATTATTCACTACAGTTAGTGGTTCAGCAGAATTCTGCACACATGCAGCAGCTGAATTGAACGAGTCATCCATCCATCAAATATTCATTTCGTTCCTAAACCATCGCATCTCTTCATGCACTTCACAAATTTCCAACAATGAACTTATCTTTTCTGTTCCTATTCTTTTCTCAATGATATTGATGTTCCTTTTCCTTCCTTCATTTCATCGATTATTCTTCCTTTTCCACTCAATAATTGTTCATCTTTGAACATATGTGTATACGAAAATTTCAGTTGAGTGTCTATAATCCAGAAGAACAATTCACATGAACTATGCGTTCTATATGGTGTATATTTATTGCAATATGTGAAGCACATGGTGTTTCAGTAGTTATCGTAAGCGCTGTTTTCATATTCTAAAATCGAGTTTGCAAACGATCGTTTCCATTTTTTTTTTGTTGATATGTATGATCCATTTGTGGCATATAGATAGGTTGCTCATCGCTGGATTTTTAAACCAATTATTGAAATCAATTCTTGATGCTGATTCGGAATCGGCAGTACACCGTTTAAAGTGGATAATGTGAACAGAAATCCCTGTCTCTACATGGAGTTCCTTTCGTTCCGACATCACTGCAGCAGAATAACAAAACTGTAATGCTTCATACCAAATGCGCGCATCACTTCATACCACATGCGCACAATTGGAAAGCGCATAAGCAAACACGCCATATCGCTATTCAAACAGCCTCATCCTCTTTAAATTATTCTCATCTATACAGTTGACAGCTGTTGTGGAGGATTTGCAATAATGTATCTTACTCGAGGAAGTAATAAACCATGACTGACGAGTGTTATACGGGAGAACTAAGTAGGAGCACCTGGTCAGATTTCATAAGTTATAACGCTACTGAAGCGATATTGAAATGCATTAATTATCTTACAGAGAACCCAAAAAATTTGTGAGAAAAATGGGCTGAAATAACTCAAATGCTTTCTTGGAAGAACTGGTCGAGGCCTCCTTACATGACCCACACACCCAACTGAACTGAAATTATGCTTATCGAGCAAGTACACTCTGATATCATACTGCAGTATTGATGAACTGGAGAATGATTTGTGATATGTAATGTTTGTAGTGTGATTAAAACTTACTTAGGACCTATCTGATATATCCGGGATTCAAACTTTTTTGATATATAGATTTGTGATGCGTATAGATAAATTGTATATTGCTGTTTTTAAGTAAATAAATAAAAAAAGTTGTGCAAAGATAGCTGAAACGTTCGTTCCGTGGATGGTACCACCGTTCAGCGTTTAATCCGAGTTTTTACTGTATAATAAGCAAGATGAGCCTTAATCGTAATCCGTGCTCGGCGTGACCAAAAGTGGAAGTGTAGTTATGTGGTGTGTACGTGGTTGCACGTTTCTGTAATGCTGTTCAGAATGACGTAGCAGATTCGTTTGATGATATTCACTTCGTTCATTTAAATAATGACTGATAAATGCATTGTTTTTGTTTGGATGTTCGATGGTGATGTGATGAATGATGTTATACTTTTTTTGATCAAATTATTTACATTCGTTATCAATTTAATCGAAACATTCAAGGGAACATGCGTCAACACGAACAGCATCACGTTACAATTGCTGATGCATTGCCCACCAAATCCAGCCTATCGTCCGGTTCGTCAGTCAACGAAGTCAGTTGCAGGTGCAAAATTACTGTCTTGTTCTTGTGTTAACCTGATATTCGACTCTGTTTTCATTCACCAGGGTGTAATGTTCCTTTTCCCATCATATAAGAGAAACTTTATTCTGCTGCAACAAGGAGTGCAGATGGGCCTTCTAGACATATTGCGAAATTAAGGCAGTTGCCTGAGGGCTGCGCAGCTTAGTTCAGAGCCTAAGCGAAAGACGTGAAATGGGAAAATGGACACTGAGTATAAAACTGAGGAACACTGAACTTGTTTGTACGGTATTGATTTTGAGAGTGCAACAAGTGAACGTGAGTGTGAGGGTAAGATATTTGCACTTTTGACTTTGCTCATCTAAAGGACCTGACGTCGTTTCTTCACTGGTGTTAGGTGGTTAATACTTCTGAAGTTCGGCTTATGTTGTTTAATGAGTGGTAAACAGAACTATTCATTATTTGCCATTGCATTGGCATCATTGTTGATGTTGATGTTGCGTTATTATTTATGTGTCACACAACCCAACAAACAAGTCAGTAACGTTCAATGAACTTTGCTAAATTTATTGCATTGATAGACACTTCCATGCCTGCCGCTATTTATAACTTTCTCAAAACAACATACCATAAATCATGTTGTTGTTGTCAGTTAACAAAATCTTGCGATAACTGTTCAACACCATACAAATTCTCTTGCATGTTTCTTATCCCAAATGATTGTTTCGTTAAGATAACGAGGTGTTTGTTGTTGTATTTGATTCTGTGATATTTGAATGGCACGGATAGTGGGAATAATATCAACAATATTATGTAACAGTATTAATAATAGCAATCTCCATAATACTAAGCAATATCATCAGTGAGCGAGGAGTGCAATCGGTCGCTAATATTATAGGTCAGGCACAGAATCAGCGGGTTCACCTCCTCCGCCAGCACGTCGCACAATGCAGCGAAGGAATAGAACAATATCGGGTTCAAAATCAGAGGATCATCTGATGACCACTGAAAGCGGAAGGGTATCTTTCTCTCTATATTGTGTGTTTCTCACGTTTGGATTAATATAAGGTCCGTTTTGAATGAGTGAATGATTCAAAGAATCAACGAAGTATTTGGTTTGAGTTGGTCTACACGAAAGGTCGACCGCCATGGTATGATCGCGAGGGGAAGAATCTGAAGCAGCCGTATGTGATTGGTATTTGTGGTGGTTCAGCATCCGGGAAAACAACCGTTGCGAGACGTATTATCGAACGACTTGAAGTACCATGGGTCACTGTCCTTTCGATGGATTCATTTTACAAGGTTTTTTGCTTCTACAAAGTCAATATTAATTCATTCATTGCTCTGTTGTGTTATTGTATTTGTGAATGACATACACGTCAGTATTGCAGTTCATATTTATTGATTTGAATGATCAATGTAAGTTGTTTGAACTGAATGTGGCTTTAAGGTATTGAGCGAAGAGCAACACGAGTTGGCTGCACGTCATGAGTACAATTTCGATCATCCACAAGCGTTTGATTTCGATTTGATTTGTGAGACACTTCATCGGTTACGTGAGGGAAAAAGTGTGGAAGTTTGTTTTGAAATCTGAATTTCTCATTTTCTGCGAACATTGCTAGATACAAGTTAGTTTTCAAAGGCATGTAAACGCGAAGCGTTGTATGCTTCAAACGGTTTAAAAAGCAATTGAGATTTAGTTAGTGGGGTTTTCCAGGTTCCTGTCTATGATTTTACGACACATCGACGTGATAAGAATCCAAAATTGATGTACGGTGCGGATGTGTTGATATTCGAAGGGATTTTAGCGTTTCATACAAAAGAATTAGTCAGTTTGATGGATATGAAGGTTGGTTTTTTTTGTGACTCATTCTTATCGAATGTTTATTTGCGAGTATTCACACAAAATCGATTGTAATTTGCCAGTCAATGGAAAAAACTCAAGATAACTATAAAATGAATAAAAGTTCANAATTTGCCAGTCAATGGAAAAACTCAAGATAACTATAAAATGAATAAAAGTTCAAAAAGAATTAAAGGTGTTCGTGGACACAGATCCGGACACACGATTAGCACGGCGCGTGCAACGTGACATTGAGGAAAGAGGACGTGAGGTAAACGGTGTTCTTGAGCAATATTTTCGGTTTGTGAAGCCTGCGTTTGATACATTCGTCGCGAACGGTATGAAGTGTGCCGATATTATTGTGCCGAGAGGTGGTGAAAACGAGGTGGCCATCGATCTGATCGCTAAACAAGTGAAAACGCAACTCGCCCAGAGAGGTGTGCTTCTCTTCAATTATCATTGCACATTGTTTCGGTGTGTTAGTTTCGATGATCTTTTTCTGAGTATGCACAGCCCATTAGGTTATTTGTTGTAATGGTTTCATTTCACATTATTTTCAAATTCAATTGTTTGTGAATTGTTGAGTGGAATAACTGAATCGAGTTCAGGGTATGATGCATCGAAAAATTTGAACTTCCAACGCGCCGATATGATCCATCGTGATCTACCGCATAAGTTGCCCGCTTCGTTGCACATCGTTCAACAGACACCACAAGTTCGCGGTCTGCACACTTTCATTCGTAATCGAAAAACTTCGAGGTATCAGTATGATTTGCTCGTATCAATGTCATTNCCATATATTGTCTTACTTATTCAAAATTTAGTTTCGTTGGCAAAAGGTGTGCAGCGGAAATTTGCGGTGTGTCAATTATGCGTGCCGGTGAATCAATGGAGAACTCGTTACGTGCAGTCGTAAAAGATTGTAAAATGGGCAAAATACTGATTCAAACGAATGAAAAAACAACAGAGCCCGAGCTATATTATTTGCGACTGCCCAAGAACATTCAGCACTACAAAATTCTGCTAATGGACGCTACCGTTGCGAGTGGTTCGTTCGTCTATTTATTCATTCATTCATCTGATTGCTTGAAAGATGTAGTAGTTGTTGTTCGTTGATGGAATGAAATCAAGTTGATATTAAGATTTGGTAAAAAGAATTTAATGAATTATTGAAATTGAAGGGGCAGCAGCGATGATGGCAATTCGAGTGCTTTTGGATCACGACGTGCTTGAAGAGAATATCATTCTGGTGTCGTTACTAATGGCCGAAACGGGTATTCATTCGCTGGCTTATGCATTCCCTAAGGTTGTACTGTTCATGATTAAATATTTGTTCTTTATTCGTAATTATATTGGTGGGCAATAATAGTATTACTATTTGTCTATTGTGACTTAATGTCTTTCAGTTCTCGTTTTGTAATATTTTGATTGAAGCCCATTTTATAAGGTGCATGGTGATTCAAATTCAATGAGAATAATAATTCTTATGGTGCACACCTTTGCACTGTACTGCATTTCGCAATTTCAACGTTTTGGCATCACGAGAGATATTGTCATTTAAGTTGTAATACTCGCAGTTTCCAAGAGCACGGTCTAAAGGCCTACATCTACTAATAATTGTATTAATTGTATTAATCTAACAATCAATAAACGGAGGGATTGAATTGATTGAGGCACTTAAATTCATTATTTAGCCTTTAAGTTATCCAATTTATTGTCTTCTCTTCTCAGTCCTCACGAAATATCACCATATAATTCTAACTTCATTTGCTACAGTTGCATAATCTTATTCATATATTTTCTTAATTCCTCTTTGCATCTTTAGTACCATANTGCCTATTTGTTATTCTTAGCATTGATTCATTGATGATGACGTTAAGCACGAAAACGTTGAAAGGGCGAAACGCGGTAGAGCGCAAGGATATATGCCGTGAAAGATTATTGCTGTATTTATTGTTATACACAGATGGAATGAATCAGCGATGATTGGTAGTTTTTAAGGTGACTTTGCTGACTACGGCAGTGGATGCACATATAAATGAGTCGTATCATGTGATACCGGGAATGGGTAATTTTGGTGATCGGTATTTTGGTACAGAAGCAGTGGCATTCTCGGATGAGGACGACTCGAATAATAGTTCAGATAATGAGAATGCGATCGGTGATTTCTGTGATGAGGTGAACGCAGACGGTCAACCGGTGTCAACGCAAACGAACAGTAGCACTAGCAGTCATTACTCGAATCATTCGTTGTCTAATTCGAGTAGTTGTTTGACTGGTGGACGAGTGCCACCAGAAGAGAATACTTCAAAAGTTGAAGCATCTGACAACTGTGAAATTGTTGAGATGAAATTGAAGGAAGAGCATCATTCTGAGCAGATCAATGGTGATCTGCTGAATAGTCCGGGAGAGAACAGTACGACGGAAAGTGATACTGTCATGTGTATAAATTGTGCGCACGAAAGTGCTGAGTCGAGTAGAAATAGCGCCACGGAAAGTGTCGAGTTGAATTCGAATTGTGTATAAATTTTTTTTCACTTGAATTATATTAAACAAAATACAACAGATTTCTAAATTTATGAAAATTTATTTAACAATTTCAAGACTCTTTATTTATTCGAAGAGGATGAAATTTCATGCAAGGGTATTTTAGTAAGGGTTTGTTTGGAATTCTGTTGAGAATGAACTGGTGTTTAAGACTTTGTTTGGTATTTTATTGAGAACGTATCTGCAGTGGTTGATTGCGATTTTGTTGTTGCGATATGAAAAATGTTAATGTTTGTCGGCAGTCACCATGGACTTTTGTAGAAATTCTAATGAGAGCTCTAAAGTAGTTAACTTCACATCATTCTTTGGAGAGATGGGATGTTATTGAAGTAATTCAGAGATAAGATAAGATCGATGTCATGACTTAAGGTCTAAATGTTTTTTGTTCAGTTATCGAACATAATTTTTTCAAATATATAATTCGTTCTTTTTTTTAAAATCACAAATATTTATTATTCTCCTTATTCGTTCCATTCGCTATGCTATATTATAACCACTTTTTACATTGTATTGTCAAATATTCGTTTTTGTTGGATCTCGTCTAACGAGTTCTCACAAATTTATGCGTGTTGAATATTGGCAAATCAATTTCGCTTCGCTGAATTGCTATTTTCAGCTGTAAATAATAATGCCGTTGCTTGATTGTCGGCCTTTAACGTTTTAATGTAAACTTTATTTGAAATCATAATGCTCGAAAGTTTTCGCAATGAACCATATACAATGTGAACGTGTTTTAAAAGATATTTCGGGTATATTATCGTATCGTTTCGTGTAATTTCTTTCTGTATTGTTAACTGTAACTATCTGTCTTCTCGATTCCATTCTCTTCGAAAAATAAAAAGAATCTGAAACAAAACATCATTCATGAACACATTCCATTTGATAAATTGATACTGAAATCAATGTGAGGAAAGGTTTTGAGGATGCGATGACACTTTCAAATTGTGCAGTATTGTTATGTTGGATTTGTACTGGATTGCTTTGCGATATCTGATAATGAATTTGAATTTCAGATTATCATCGCGAAAGCGAGTTTGTTATCTCTTGACAAAGTCGATTTGTTTGTTTGTTTTTTTAAATTTTATTTTGCAAAGTTACATTTGTTATCTAACGATTTTTTGCTTATAATTGAGCATTTATTGCTGTGTCGTTAGCATTGTTGCGTTATTGTCGTGAATGCCATATTTTTGCTTTTATATTCTTCGATTCAGCTGAAAATGAATATTATTATTTAGTTGAAGACGTGACTTCCTGTTTCTGTTTTTATGCTGTGTCGAGTCGTTTTCAT